ACTACCCGCCTGGCACTTAGTTTAGGGGTTTTATTCCCTCCCTAATTTCAGGGGAAAATCCCTACTTGGGGAAACAACCTTTCTCGGAGAGGTGACCTTGGTTAAAACACATGGTGCCAAGAAGGTGAGCAAACATATTAAGAACAGTATGCCATATATGCCAGGTCCCTTGAAACAGCAAGGATGGACTGGCTCCCGGCAGTTTCTAACTCTCTATCTCTCTCCCTTCCTCTCTGTAAAAAATCAATAAAATATATTTTTTTAAAATGCTTATATTGTTTCAGTGACCCAGTAACAAAGTAACTGACTCACTGTGGGTACGAGATAAAGTACCTACATGTGGGAGACAACAAGACACACAATGCCTGTGCTCTGGCCTCAGAGTTCTTGGTCTCCTTGGGGGGATGAATGTCCTCAGAGACTTGTTCCAAGCAAGATGTTGATCAATCTACTTCCATTTACAGTGAGTATAGAATAGGAAGTGGCTTATAACTAAGTCATGATGGATTTATGTTCCTTATAAGGATAGGCTCCTGAGAAGTAAGGATGGTTGAGGGTTATAACTGGGATAAGTTGGGTCATATCGGGGTCCAGAAAGTTATCAAAGTAGGGAATAGTTTGATTTTGTTGCTTGTGCAGTATTGAGTAGCAGACACAAAAACAATGCTTGTTGGGTAGATATTTGGGTGTATGGATATTAATAAATTGTTCTAATTTGGTATAAATGAGACCTTATATGAAGACAGGAGATGAGCTACACAATCTCTAAAAATTCTTTCTTAACTCATGATTTTATTTTCCATATTTCTCTACCTAATGAGGTATATTACTTCAAAATTCTACAATGATTATTGGAATGCAAAAAATTAGAAATTTAGGACCTGACCTCCTCTTCCTTATGTTTCATCTATAGATCAAAAACGTCACTAATACATTAACCACATACGTTGTGAGTGCCAGCATTTCAGATATATCCATTCAAAACTTGGCTGACCCAGTAGTTATTACTCTGCAGCATATTGAAGGAAACCAGGTAAAACATCCATTTTAATCTCAGAATAAAAAGGCCTCAGAACCCCTCCATGATTTTCCCAATAAAAATAATTGGCTAGTTAACCGATGTGATCTAAAACTTAATGAAGATTATTCCATTTCAGGTAGCTGAGATGTATCGTAATTGGGATTTCTAGAAATAATGCCTTAGCCTAAAGGGATAACTAATGGTGAACTTCTAGCACTGTGACAGATTGGCAGAGGAGTGACTATGAGCATGTGGATTAGTGGTTGTCCCATCACACTAAATGGTATTTAATTCCATGTAGTTAAGAGTGAAGCAAACAACTTAAAATAATATTTAAATATCTTTATCCTTTGAATTTCCATGAAGAACATTACAATATGTATTAATTATCACCAAAGATTTAAAGCCATAGTCATATGGCAAAACATAAGGTATATATTACTAAATGATCAAATTTAGCCATGGTATAATAATGAACTACTATTGCATTTTTTGATGTTAATGTATGTCCAGTGAGAAGTCTTAATAGCTTCCTTCATTCCCAATCTAAAAGACCACATGGTACAACATATTCTTCCCAGCTCTTAATTCTAGAAGGGAAGAAGAAAGAATGGGAAAGGGAATTAAAAAGAACCCAGATACCAAATGAAATATGTTAGCTGGGTAAGATGTCAATTCCAGCTGGGTCCATAGCACTCCAAGCATGCCCCAATAACCAGTTTCTCATTGTCTCCAGTCCTAGAGATTGCAGAAGCTGGTGAGGCCTCAGGAATGCTCATTAGGCCTAAGAAGGAGGCAGCTCAATCTTGTACCTATAAGGCTTGATCTCAGCTTTGAGCCCCAAATTCCAAAGTTCCATGTGGAACACCTTCCATACATCAGACCTGCACTGTCCGTCCACAGCCTACTCCTGGGCCTTGCACGGGGAGACTGTGGAAAATTCATATGTTATCAAATATTTTAAGGGGCACACACCAGATCACCATGCATAACATGTTGTTTTCTTTCTTGTAAATCCCAAGTTATCTGTGGTTAGTCTTAAAACCAACTCATAAATGGTCTATGTGTGTATACTATTTGAAAAAACGGTAAGAAAAAAACAAAACACTTGTGTGTACTTGCTATTGTGTAGTAACTATCACAAGGAAAGGTGCTTACCTATGATTTTCCTTTTTTCTAGAATTATGATCAAGTTCATTGTGCCTTTTGGGACTTTGTGAAGAACAGTAAGTATTTTTCAAAACTTTGTCTTTCAGTGAGACTTTGCCCCTGGCCATTTTTCTGTTTGGCAGTTGAAGCAAGGGAGTTTTACTGAAGCTACTGTCTTATCAGACCCTACAGAGAACTCTGATTTGCCAAAATACAAATATGAGCTTTATAATCAACTACTGGCCTGGTGCATGAAATTCATGCAGAGGGGGGGCATCCCTCAGCCCAGCCTGCACCCTCTCCAATTGGGGACCACAGGGATCAGGCCTAAACCGGCAATCAGACATCCCTCTTGCAATCTGGGACTGCTGGCTCCTAGCCACTCATCTACCTACCTGCCTGATTGCCCCTAACTGCCTCTGCCTGGCTGCCTGATTGTCCCTAACTCCTCTGCCTTCCTGCTTGATCGTCCCTAACCTTTATGCCTGCCTGCCTGATTGCCCCTAACTGCCTCTGCCTGCCTGCCTGGTCTCACCCCCAACTGCCCTCTCCTATCGGCCTGATCTCCCTCACAACTTCCCTCCCCTGCCAGCCTGATTGCCCCCAACCCCCTGCTGGCCTGATCTCGCCACCAACTGCCCTCCCCTGCTGGCCTGATCACCCCTAACTGCTTCTGCCTTGGCTCCCACCACTTGGCTTTGTCTAGAAGGAAGTTGGAAGTCTGGAAGATGGCTGGTGGACCAGGTCTAATTAGCATATTACCCCCCCCCTTTTTAGAATAGATATAGATTATATAGGATAGGATTGCTTAAATAGAGGAGGAGATGCTCTTGGCAGACAAAAATACATAACCCCTATATCTGGACTGACAGCCAGCCATATGCACTATACTGCCAAACTGGTCATTAAAAAACTGAACCACTTTCTTACACCTTACACCAAACAGCTGTTTCCCTTAAAACCCCTCTTCAGCCCCCACCTTAGGGTCTGTCTTCGCAGTTCACCCTCATTAGGTTCTGATTGGTCGGTTTCTATGCCAGTCGGCGTCAAAAGCTCCACCTCCTGGGCAGCCATCTTGTGAGGGTGTGCTGGTCAATTTGCATATTACCTCTTTATTATATAGAATAGAGGCATGGGGGTTAAAAAAACATGTTCTTCTCCATAAGAGACTTATTTTGGGGATCAGAAAATTACACAACTCAGGGGTAAGCAAAGTTGGAAGAAAGCTAGAAGACACAGAGCAGATTGGCCTCAAGCTGATTAAAGAAATTTGAGGAATGAACACCTGGCTCTTTATCTGTGGTTTCCCACGGAGATTTGCAACATCCACTGATAAATCTTTCCCTTTTTTTCCTCATCTCTTCTAACCTTACTGTGTGTCCTTGGGTAATCCATTTATCTCTTGGGGCTCCAATATTTTTATCTTTTCATTGAGGAGATAAGACTTCCAGCTTGGTCTTTAAGGGCCCTTCCTGATTTGCTAGGTATGAGTCTTTGGGGACAGTAAGAGAATGGGTTGGGGATAAGATGCTGAATGGGTCCCTCTTAGGCTTGCCATCTCAATTTGAATCTTCAGGGATATTGCCTAATCTCAGAGAATTCCCACACAGAATCAATTTCCCCTGGAATGCCAGGAGTGGTTATGTGACCAGTCTTCCACCTGTGGAAGCTCTGCCTGGGAACTTGTCATTTTACAGTATCCTTGGAATTCTGAGAGAAAAGAGAAAGTCTCTTCCCACTTAACTCCCTGTGATATGGGAATACAACAGAGATAGTACTGTGATTTCCTGGTCCCCTCCAAGTCTCCCAGGATAAGAGTCCTATAAAATGGTGAGCCTTGCCCCTCACAGCCTAAATAAGTTTATCTGCTCATTAATGCAAGTTCCTTGGTTCTTCCAGGTCACCCTTTGCCCCTACCCCTCTGTCCATGGATCCAGAGCCTCTGGAATCTATGGGGTTATCCTAGATGGAAAAATGTTGATCATATTTAGCTGTCTGCCTTAGAATAACCTCTTTGGTCTGGTGCTACCCTGGAGGTTCTACTCTAAATCTGATCTAGTACCCAAAATCTACAGGCTATGGAAGTTTGAGGGTTGGTGTTAGAATCCTAAATATGTTCAGGAGTGAGAAATTAGGCAGGTGTCAAGTAGACCAGAAGCTTTTTTTTTTTAATTTTTTATTACAAAAGGTATTACATATGTGTCCATTCCCCCTCCCCCGCCCTAGACAGTCCCCTAGCCTCCCCTATCCCCCAGTGTCTTATGTCCATTGGTTATGCTTATATGCACGCATACAAGTCCTTTGGTTGATCTCTTACCCCCCTACCTCCTGCCCCACAACCCTCCCCGGCCTTCCCGCTGCAGTTTGACAATCTGTTTGAGGCAGCTCTGCCTCTGTATCTATTATTGTTCAAAAGTTTATAATGTAGACCAGAAGCTTTAATTGGCCTTAAGGGGCTTCAGACCATGATCTGGCTTGAGTACAAAGAACGTGAGATTATTTGAATTCTGGATTGAACTGGTTATTTCAGATGTCTGTTCCAGTCTCACAGCGCATGCCCAAGTGTCAGCCTATATTCCATAACTTGTGTCCTTCAGAAAGTTCTACATCTACCTGTTTCCTGTTTGTGCTACTTGAAAAGGAACAGTACTTAATTCTGTCGTTTTAGCATGATGGCAGGACTGTTGCTCATGATTAGAGTCTGTCATAATCTGTTAGGAACAGGAAAAGTGAGAGCCAAGAAGTTGTGACATTTATGAAGCCCCCCCCCAAAAAAATCAATTGAGCTTACTAGACTTAATTTAATTTCAGTGTTCAATTATACCTCTATGTTGCTGTCTTAACAAGCAATACTAATTATAAGACATGTTTGGAAGGTGCATATAATGAAAATTTAAATATTTCTGAGAAAAACAAAAATTGCTTTGAAATTTCCTTCTGTCTCCTGCAGATGGGCTAGGTGGATGGAATTCATCAGGCTGTAAAGTAAAGGAAACAAATATAAATTACACAATCTGTCATTGTGACCACCTCACCCATTTTGGAGTCTTAATGGTGAGTTGTCTCTTAAGCACGCCTTGATAGAATTTTGACAACTTTTATTGGATTACAGTTCAGGAATATATTTGTGAACTAAGTTATAGAAAAGTGTCAAGTGGAAAAAAAGCTCACCTGTGTTCATCCAAATAGAGATTAAAATAAGTGTTTATTTTTCTCCTTATAAAATTAATGCCTGCTCCTCACAATTAAAACATTACAGAAAAGGTTCCTACAATCCCCCTCCCAAGAGATTACCACCTTTAATACATTTATGTATATTCTTTCAGAATCTTTTCCTATGTGTATATTAATATATGTTTTTGTTTTATAAAATGTGATCAAGTCAAGTTATTTATACTGTTTTTACTACTTGCTTTCCACCTAAATATATATATAACACCTTTCAGGAAAATGTGTATCCATCTATTTCAATTTTTAAGTGTCTTTATAGTATTCCATTGTGTGGATTTAACATGGTGAATTTAACCAATCCCATATGGATAAGCATTTTAGTTGTTGTTACTGTTTCCTCCATTGTGAACAATGCTGCAACAACCATTTTTATTCATTTACCTATAAACACTGATGTAAATATTTATGTAGGATAAATTGATGGAAGTATAATTGCTGGGGTAAATGGCATGGTCATTAAAATTTTTAATTTTAATAATTCTTGTCAAATTGTAGTGTAGGAAAGATGGATTAAAAAATACTTGCAGTAGTTAACCAAACAAGAGTTATCTGGTCAATTTACATATCCAGGCTTCAGCATCATTGTTAAATCTTCTATCTCCTTCACTCCCTACAGTCCTCCTTAACATCAGGACTTGCTGAGTTTTCCTTCAAAATGGCTCTCAAATGTGTTCTTTCCTCTGTACCCATGCACAAGTACTTTCTTAGCTCTCTTAAGTTACCTTATTATATGTTATATACTGTTAGTTGAATGTGTCATGCATGAGTTGCTTATTTTATTGATAGTAAGCTCCTTGAGTGCTGAGAGTCTGTTTTATATTTATTTTTACCATATCTATTCAACAAATAAGAGGTACTCTATTGATACCTATTGACTTGTAAAAATTTTGTTTACCTCCCTCCAAATTGATTAAAACATAACAGTAGAAGTCAAAACACCAGAGCTCACATGCCTGCTCTGTCACTAAATACCTATGTGATTTTGGTCAGTTTGTTTTACTTGTTTGGACCTTAGATTTGTCTTCCGAAATGTGAAAGATTGGCATAGACCAGGATTTCTTAACCTTGGCACTATTGATATTCTGGGCAAATCATTCTTTGTTGTGGGGGGGGGGGGCAGTTCTGTGTATTGTAAGATATTTAGCAGCTTCCCTGGCCTATACCCACTAGATGCCAGTAGCATCTTCCCCAGTTGTGACAACCAAAATGTCTGCAGACATTGCTAAATGTCCCTAGAGGAAGGACAAAATCATTTCCAGTTGAGAATTACCAGAGTAGAGCAGTGCTTCTTAACCTTTTATTGATCATGAATCTCTGTAACCATCTGATGAATTCTACTGACCTTCCCAGAACAATGCACTCATATACTCAAATGATTTTGCATGCCATTTCAGGTCTTTTATGATCCTCAGGTTAAGAAATTACTGGATTATGCGATCTCCAAGGTCCATTTTGCCTCTTAATTTTAGAAAAGTTATTTAAGTTCTAAGGAAAAGGAACATTTGTTTTTGATGTTTTGTGTAGTATTTGGGGATGGTTAGTTCAGATAATGATTCACTTTGCGTCTCCAATTCACATCTATTAGTTTGGTTACATTTTAAGTGTGGGACATGTTAATGAAAATAAAATCAAGGATTAAATGTTCTTCCAGTGCTGTTGATGGCTTTTTATGCCCTGTACACTGCAAGTTACACTACACATATTCAACAAACTATGCAGTCTTATTATAAATTCATCTACATACTTTGGTTTTATTAGAGTTGTAGCAGAGATGATATAGACCCTGGGAACCTCCTGTTAGTGAGCAGTGGAAGAATTTTTTTAAAAAATATATTTTATTGATTTTTTTATACACAGGAGGGAGAAGGAGAGGGATAGAGAGTTAGAAACATTGATGAGAGAGAAACATCGATTGGATGCCTCCTGCACACTCCTTAATGTGGATGTGCCCGCAACCAAGGTACATGCCCTTGACCGGAATCGAACCTGGGACCCTTGAGTCTGCAGGCTGACTCTCTATCCACTGAGCCAAACCGGTTAGGGCAGCACTGGAAGCATTTTACCATAAATTAGTTCTGGCACATGTATAAAAACAATGCAATGCTTTCCCTAGGATTTATCAAGGTCTGCAGTGGATGCAGTGAATGAGCAGATATTAGTACTTATAACATACACTGGATGTGGAATCTCCTCCATTTTCCTAGGAGTTGCAATGGTGACATACATAGCTTTTCAGTAAGTTGATACATTCTTGCTCTGAGTAAACTTAATTTGGTTTGATGGATGCTGTTGTCATTTTAACCTGGTTAATTTCATAAAAGGTTCTGATTCATCACAATAGTAATAGGTCAGATCCATTAGACTCCGTGGTGGACATGTTAAAAAAGAAAACAACCAAGGCTTATAATTGAAGTTTTTTAAAGCAAGAGGGTGGGGATAAGAAAAAGATTTTCCTAACAGGATACAAAAACACTAATCATAAAAGAAAAAAAATGATAAATTTGACTTCATTAAAATTAAAACTTCTTTCATCAAAAGACATCATTAAGATAGTGAAAAGGCAAACTGTAGGTTGGGAGAAGATATATATTTGACAAAAGACTTGTATTCAGAATATGTAGAAACTCCTATAAGTCAAAAAGCAAAAGACATACAATACAATTTAAAAATGGGCAAAAGACTTGAGCAGGTACCCCATAAAAAAAGATATCTATGCCCAGCTCTAGTCCTTACCTAAATAGCTAATAAGTATATGACAAGTTTCTCAACATTATTATTCATCAGAGAAATGATCATTAAAACCACACTTACACTTTGATGCACCCACCAGAATGGCTTGCATTTAAAAAGTTGAACATAGTAAGAGCCAACAAGGATATGGAACAATTAGAGCTCATACATTGCTGGTGGGAATACAAGAATGGCATAGACACATAGGAAAAGTCTCTGGCAATACCTACTAAAGATAAATATACATCGAGCTACTAGAGAGAATCTCACTATTAGAGGGAAATGATTGCATATGTCCACAAAAATACATATACAAGAATATTCAAAGTGGCTTTATTCATAGTGGCCAAAAATGGGAAACCCCAGTGTACATTAACAGGAAACTGGATTAATAAATTCTGGTATATTCATAAGTGAAATGTTTCACAGCAGTAAAAAGAAAAAGAATAAACTACTTCGATTCAATAATATCTAATTCTCATTGACATAGAGTTGAGCAAAGAAAGCTAGAAAGAGAAGATGGTTCCATTTACATGAAATTCCAAGTACAGGTGAAACTAAATATATGGGGATAGAAGTTAATATTGGTTACCTCTAGTGGGAATATTTAATGAGGGAAAGAATGGAGAAGCCTTCTGAGATGTTTAAAATATTTTACATTCTGATCTGGGTGGCATTCCCTTAGGCATATTCATATGTAAAGATTCATTGAGTTGCATTCTTAAGAGTTGTGTACTCTACTATTTACCTCAATTTTAAAAACCACATATACACCAAATGAAAATTGCAAAATTTAAATCAGTAAATACTTGATATATATAAAAAAGAATGAAAAGAAAATATATATTTTTCTAATTTGGAAAATACTGGGTCAGTTTTCACAAAGTACAATTGTAATCACTTAGTGAAACTTAAGGTCATATTTCCACAATGGCAAATGTCTGGATCTTTGGAAATATTCAAGTAACTACTTGAAATGGTTTGCACAGATATCCTGCTATTTGGTTATATTTAGATATAGCCTTGAATATGATGGAGTGATGATAGAATTGTATATCCAGGATACACCTTCCTTCCTTCTCTGCACCCCCCCCCAAAAAAAGGTGATGCTTAGTTGATAGAGGCTATTATTATTCCTGTTAGTAAAGGTCACTGTACTTAGGATACTTTGACTCTACCTGGAGAGAGGGTGGGAAACTCTAAAATTCAGTACATGTGAAGTGATATGAGTACTTTAATTTTAATAAGAAATTTTTCATTCTTTCACTTATTATGCAGATAAGATGTAGCAAGGCTTGATTAAAAACGGAGACCCTGATTTGCTAAATATGTCTTTTTTCTTTTAGCAAACTTCGAAAAGACCATCCTTCCAAAATCCTGATCAATTTGTGTGCCGCACTACTGATGCTAAACCTGGTTTTTCTGTTCAATTCTTGGTCGTCATCATTTCAGACAGAGGGACTTTGTATCACAGCAGCAGTGGCACTTCATTACTTCCTGCTCGTTTCTTTGACATGGATGGGCCTGGAGGCAGTGCACATGTATTTTGCTCTAGTTAAAGTCTTCAACATATACATTCCCAATTATATTCTTAAATTTTGCCTAGTTGGTTGGGGTAAGTATGTTGCCATTGTCCTTGATGTCTCTGTTTTAAGCCTGTGTGTCTTTCTAATTCTGGCTCCATTAGACAAATTATTTGGGACCAAAGTCTGTTATTATCATAGGTAAAGAATTAAGGATTGCCTCACTGGTATTTGGATTTATATCTCTTTTTCTGCCTATACTGATCTAGAAATTCAACTTTTAACCTCCATTGTGAGGAACCGGCCTTCAAATATTTAATGAGCATCTGCTTGTGTATATGCTAAATTCTGATCTATGTAGTGAGCTGATTTTATCTTTCCCTTTATGGAAGTTACAATCCCGACAAAATCTTACTGTTATAACAGCCAGCATTTAGGCAGCACTTACATGTGCCAGAACTGTTCTAAGTGCTTTATATACTCATTTAATCTTTACAAAATCTCTAATCATTACTTCCACTTAATATATTAGGGCACTGAGTCACAAAGGAATTAGGTAATTTGCCTAAACTCAACATAGCCATACAAACTGGCAGAACTGGAATTTGAACCAGGGAATCTGTCTCTATAGTTCGGACTTTTAACCTCTGTGATCTAACCATATTGCTTAAGGGACAGGGAAAGGAGTTGCAATGTGTGAAATGGTGCTCAGTCAGACATGCCCTGATTCTCACTACACCTCATGACTGTCACTATCACTGCTTCCGTCTGGAAGAAGCCAGGAATGAAACTCAGCATGAAACTTTCCTAAATTAGATGTCATTTCATTGGATTTCTTGACTGTATTTCTAACTGACAGGGTCAGCTCAGCTCCTTTCCCCCCTCCCCACTTTGCTATTCAAAACAGATTGTGAATGCAGAAAATGTTAGGCACATAGAAGATGTATATTAAAGTGGAATGCATAGGATACACAGGGAGACAGATTTTATCTTCCACTGCTTTTCTAAAGACAATAGCTTCCCAATTAGCTACTCATCCTTTTAATGAGTTAACATATTACAAGCTTTAATTGGATAAGGTCAGTGCTATTATCTATGCTAATGTGGAGAGTACAGAAAGGCAATACTAAACAAAGCGTAGTTGAAAAAATTGTTTTAGTGCACTTTGGAATCCATCAGAAACACAGAGCCCAAAACAGTCAATACTCTCCCATTTATGCCTCGCATCCTTCATCTCTAGTCAACTGTCAACTGGAAGATTGAATGAATTGTGGAAGAGTCTTCACAAATAATCCAAAGAGCTGAAAATCCACATATGGCTAACTGTGAAGGGGCTGTAAATACTAGTAGCACTGGATCCTGGCTTTCCTTCTCCCTCATCATCACTCATTTTAAACTTCCTCTTCAGACTGTTCCTCCATCAGACCCTTGCTCCTTAAATGTTGGTGTTTCCCAAGGCTGATTTTCATCTTTTGATATTCTGGTTCTACACCCACTTCCTGGGGGTACTGGAGTGTCAGGAAAGGCTAGCCTTGGTACTTTGGAGGCAGGAAAAACTTGGGGAGTGTTAAGTACACACACAAGCCAAGGCAACTTTTATATTCAGTTTATTACTTACATTGGTGGTGAAAAGAAGAATAGCTAAAGGTGTCAGCTCCCCAAGTCTTTGTCTCCCACACTATGAAGAATGACAGCAAAACAAAAGGGGAACAGATGGCTGTCACAAGAGTTGTAGGATTCCTTGTTGTTGAGGAGCCAGTTCTAAACTGAAGGTATGCAGTATTTTATTCTGCAGTTCTGTTCTGAGGAGGAAGGGTGAAAAGCCCCACACCTCCTCAGAATTTGGAGGCAATGAGAAACTGTCTCATGACAGCCTCTGAGAAAAGATAGGGAGGCAAATAGGAGATGATCTTGGAACACCTTCTCATAGGCCTGCTACCTTCTTAAATTCACGGAGGATCATAAAGCATTCTGTCAAAATTCAGATCAGCTGTGGTTCAAGCCTATGCCTATGTGGATACCTGCAAGGTTGTCAGGGAGCCAGTCCAGAGCTGTCCCACTACAGGGAGATTCAGAGCATTTAACTATTAGATAAATGCAATCAGCTCTAAGGAAAATGAATATTAGGATCTGTTTGTGTTTGAAGTTCTGCCTTTCTAATGCCAAAGCAACCTATTAAAAATGTTTTATTCCTTTAAGTCTCTGTCCAAGGCAGTAGATTTGTCCACATTTAATAAATAACAATCAGTAAGGATATATATTTTTTAATTATTAAAGTGTAAACAGAGCTTGGGACCACCTCACAACTTCCATCCTAATGTAAGACTTCCCTCCCTCCTCTTCTTCTGGTCTCCAACAGGTATTTTTTCAAATATCTACATCATGCTAGCCACTGTGCTAGATGAGAAAAATGTAGAACTGAAGGGATTGTCCTGTTTATCACAGGATAAGACAGTGGTCGGCAAACTCATTAGTCAACAGAGCCAAATATCAACAGTACAACGATTGAAATCTCTTTTGAGAGCCAAATTTTTTAAACTTAAACTATATAGGTAGGTACATTGTTATTAACTTAATTAGGGTACTCCTAAGGCTTAGGAAGAACCACACTCAAGGGGCCAAAGAGCCGCATATAGCTCTCGAGCCACAGTTTGCCGACCACTGGGATAGGACAATGGAGGATTTCTCAAGATGCTTAGCACTCTGGAATTTAGAACAGCTTCTTACAAAACTCCTAAATTATGTGCAGGTGTAATAATGCTATTAGTTTAGCAGAAGTACATTGTTAGAAGTAAAGAAATCATTTAAGTTTTGCACAATGTATATGAAATTGAATTTTTAAACCCTGTGTCTATACTCACATCAAGCTTGACTACTTTGACTGAACTGATTGCTTTATTATAGTCTGGCTGAATTGACTCGTCCTTAACTGGTCGATCTAGTCAAAATGTCAAACTGGTAACGAGTATAGAAACAGCTCCCCTGTCAGAAAAACACTAAAGGCTGCAACTGATTGCCTGTGCCCTTCATCCAAGGTAACTGAGACAAAAAGATGCCAGGAAATGAGGGACAGTATTGAACAAAAGAAAAAATTGGCGGCTCATCATCTGAGAAGAAAGGCTTGATGCAAATTTGCATTCCGATGAACTAGATACTTCTATTGCCAAGTTGATTTTTGGTACTTGAGCTATTTTTAATAACCAGTGGGTGTTTTATTGGAGCCACTGGCATGCTGTTTAGTTTAACAGATTGGAGAACTCCTAGAAATGTTTAACTTAGAAGAATTTACAAACATTTTGCAAACAATGGTATTTTGATGCCTGTGCATCTGTGATTCATTTAAACAGTGGCTTAACTTATCAGTGCACAGAGTCATTGATCAGAATCTTTCCCCTGCTTTCTAATGGGATGCCTTTGGCTTGCTTCCCCACACTAGGGATCCCAGCAATCATGGTGGCAATCATACTGAGTGTGAAGAAAGATCTGTATGGAACTCTGAGCACCACATCTCCATTGTAAGTACCAGCATCTCTGCTTCTCAAGTGATGACGCTCTGTATTTTGTATGAATTAGAGGGAAATAGAGAGGAGAGGGGGAGAGAGAGAGAGAGAGAGAGAGAGAGAGAGAGAGAGAGAGAGAGAGAGATTCGTTGTACCACTTATTTATGCATTCATTAGTTGATTCTCACATTTGCACTGACTGGGAATCTAATCTGAAATCTTGGCATATTGGGATGACTGACACAACTGAATTTACCTGGCCAGGGCTGATGATGCTCTTGACCATCAGATTATGGTGGGGTGTTTCTGGCCTCAGGCTTTGTCTTGATGCTGGCTTCAGGAAAGATCCAACCTCAGCCTTTCTGGCCTAAACACAGTCATGAACACACTCACAAGATGGTTAAGTACCTGGGCTCTGTACGACCTTGGGTAACTTACTTTACCTCTTACTTTCATTTCCTGCTCTGGAAAGTGGGGATAATAATGTTTGCTTTCAATGCTGTGTGCAAATTAAAATGACATTATATATAGAAAGTGCTCAGCATGTGGCCTGTTCCATTGTAAGTGCTATATAACTTACAACTATTATAATTAGAAAGCTTGCAGAACTTGGAAGGAATTGGAGTTGTCACTATAAGAAAATACTGAAACAGGATGGAAAACACGTTCTACCTTTCAACAACAAAGCTCTCCCCTGGAGAAGATTCCACCTCTTTCCTTTGTAAATTGACTCAGCTTTGTACTATTGTTTTTCTATTATTTTCCTCCCTCCCTCTCTTTTTCCCTTCCTTCCTTCCTTCCTTCCTTCCTTCCTTCCTTCCTTCTTCCCTCCCTCCCTCCCTCCCTCCCTCCCTTATCTATCTATCTATCTATCTATCTATCTATCTATCTATCTATCCATCTCTTTGATTCTTTCATGCACAGCCACAAGAGAGTAGCCGTTTACTTTGCTCTGTCTCTCTAGAAACTTCTTTTATAGGCCTGTAGATAGTTACCATGTAGTCCTTTAGACTGCACAGTCTCATTTCTGATTTTATTTACTTACCCATATCCATTTTCTTTAGCATTGCCTCTCAAGTACTTTTTCACTATAGATTTTTCTCTCTCACTGGACTGGAATCAAAAGTAGGAGGCCTTCCCCCCTCCCCTCCAGTCTCCTCCATTTTTCATATTGAGATGACAGTTACCAGAAGGTCAAAATTCTATTGCCCTTTCCAGCATATGCCTTCTAATCATAGTTCCTTGCTATCCTTTCTTTCTCTTTCCTTTCCCTTCTCATCTCATCCTCCATCTTCCTTCCATGACTGTTTTGTGACTTAAAGTCTAGCTAATTATCTAGCTAATGGTTATTCTTCAAAGAACAAAAGCAAAAGCAAAGCCAGAACAAAATCAATACCACTACCTCTGAAAACACCCCTTTCATATGTGAAGTGGTTAATTAGAGGCAGAATGCTCTAAAAGCTTTTAAAATATATTTTTTAAAGAAGTAACACAGGAATATGGCACAAAATTCAAATGTACAAAAGGGTAGAGGATGAAAAATAAAACCCTCTTCCAACCTCAACTACCCAGTTTCTCACCCTTGATGCAACTCTTTTTATAATCAAATTTGTATAGATATTCTCTTGCACACTTTGTTAACCAAATGGTAGATAAACATTATTTGGTATTTAACAATATGTCTTGGAGATGGTTTTCTATTCAAACATATAGTGTTGCCTCTTTTATGAATTTCTATAGCTTTCTTTAATGTTGAAGATGATATTCAAGGAAGCTTAAGTATTAGATTCTATTAGGGAAATTAAATGTTTCCCCCCACTCCCTCCCAAGACACACAAACATACCCAAACTCACACACACAAAAAAATATCCACAACAGCATGAATAATATAAGCACAGGAGAATTTCCCGGTTCTGAAAAAGAGGTCTCAGCTAAGTTGATACATAGTTAAATTAGTGAAGCTTGTCTATGTTAAAAAATCAGAGGTAATACCACCAGTAATTGGAAATTTTATTATATGAAATATTTGTGCTTATGAATCACCAAATATTTATTTTTTAATAGAAATGGTAGAGCCATTAATCACCCCAGTGACTATTGTTGCCTCTGTAGACCAAACTGGTAGCTGTGGTGGGAAGTGTATTTATTTATTTTTTTAAATATATTTTTATTTATTTCAGATAGGAAGGAAGAGAGAGAGAGATAGAAACATCAGTGATGGTAGAGAATCATTGATTGGCTGCCTCCTGCACAACCCCTCCTGGGGATGGAGCCCGCAACCTGGGCATGTTGCCCTTGACTGGAATTGAACTCAGGGCCCTTCAGTCCACAGCCAATGTGCTATCCACTGAGCCAAATCGGCTAGGGCTGTGGTGGGAAGTTTAAAGTATACATCCTACTTTAAAGTAATACAACCAGAGCTGTTTCCTTTTTGTTGCATTTTCATTAACTCTGATAAGCTCATCACTGTTTGATATAACATTCAGAAAAGCCATTCATTGCTCATGTCCTTTTACAGTAATATTTATCCTGCAAATAAAAGCTCAGGTATGAGGGAAAGACCACTTTTGGAGGAAATACATCATTTGTTTTTATGCTGTTGAGGAAGAGAATCTCCTCCTCGGGAATTAGACTGAGAGGTTTCTGTATATGTAGGGCATAAAATCCTCTGGGATTTCTGGCTCAACACTGGAAAGAAACCTTGGCTGTGGTTTCAGAGATTGAGATTTGATTTTCAGCTCTGCCCCTGTGAGTATGAGTGAGGTCTGTTAACTAGGTATTCTCAGATGGAATGAAATCAACTAGAGGATCTTCAGAGTCTCATTGAAAAATGTGAGTTTATATTTCTCTACCTCACAATTGTCTTCTCTGTTTTATCTCTTACAGTTGTTGGATTAAAGACAATTCTCTATTTTACATCTCAGTTGTGGCTTATTTTTGCCTCATATTTCTCATTAATTTCTCCATGTTCTGCACTGTTCTTGCTCAACTGAATTCCATAAAATCCCAAAGCCAGAAGACTCGGCAGAAGATGATCCTATATGACCTCAAAAGCACAACAAGCCTAACATTCTTACTTGGCCTCACCTGGGGGTTTGCCTTTTTTGCCTGGGGACCTGTGAGGATCCTTTTCTTGTATCTTTTTGCCATTTTTAATACTTTACAAGGTAATTTCTGCTTCTTTGTATTTTCTGTGTCTAGCGAGGCCTCCACCAAATCTTTTGCTGTATTGGAAAATAAGCTCATCTTTCAGGGATTCAAGGGAAGGAAAGATACTGTAAGAGGTCTCTGCTGTCAATGAGTTGACATACAGCCATTAGAAACATTGGCTGGATGCTAAGACTTCATTAAATAACCCAGTCTCTCTTTCTCAGGTTTTAAAAAGAAGTTCAAATAGCTAACTCAACTCCAACTAGTTGGCAATGTCTATAACAAACACCAATTGGTAATACCTCTTGTAGCAATATGTCAACACATTGTGCTGGTAATTGTATAGATTTACATTTGTGTTGACATTTTGAAGTGCACTATCCAATTGTACATAGCAATTACTGGACAGTAGAAACATTAAACTTTTTAATCCTCACCTGTGGATATTCTTTTTAATTGATTCTCAGAGACAGTGAAAGGAAAGGAAGAGGGGCGGGGGAGAGAGAGAGAGAAACATCAATGTGACAGAAACACATCAACTGGTTACCTCTCACATGCAACCCTGGGGCAGGGAGCGAACTTGCAACCGAGGTATGTGCCCTTGACTAGGAATCGAACCTGTGACCTTTGGGTCCTCAGGCCAATGCTCTAACCACTGAACAACTGGCCAAGGTGAAACATTAAACTTTTGACCTCATAGACTATGGTTGCATTAGATATCCTAATACATTATAAAAAGGAGCCAGGCCAGGAAATTGTAGAGTCACAGAGGAATGAAGGTGAAGAGCAAAGAGTAGTCAGTCAAGGCAAGAGGGTAAGGTTCTAGTCTTGGTTTTACTACAAATTAAACTTGAAAAAGTTGCCACAAAGGGCTGAATTAGATTATTCTAAACTAATGGCTCTATAGCTCTTTTATCTCCTTCCTATTTTCTGGTGAAAGGAAAACAAATGATAATGAAGTGATTAAATGGTAGGCCAAAGATGACATTAGAAGTAAAAGCTCAGGATCTGGTTAATATACCTCTGAATAAGTGTTGATGTTCATTTTAGCCGGATTTTGCCTACTAAAAAATCTTGGGAGAAAGAGGCATGCAGAGTGATTTCTGCATCTCAAACTCCACCTCATGCTCGTATGCTTAAGTTTGGCCCTCTTGATTTGGGCCACTGCAGTAAGGCCACTGTGAGTCGACTTGGGCAGTTCATTGAGTTAGGGTCTCCTTTAGTGCTTTTAACTATTTATTAATTTGATAAATGCTTTTTGGTGGTTCCATAGGATGCTCCAGGAGGAAAAGGGTTCTATGGTCAAAGAAGTTTGGGAAATGCAGCAAACTACATGTCCCCATTCTTAAAATGGCACAGTATACATTAAAAAGCTCTGAGAAATTCTGTTGGGGGAAAAATACTTTTAAAAATTTGTTTTAGCCTTGACCGGTAGCTTAATTGGTTGGAACATTGTCCTGCACACCAAAAGGTTACATATTCAATTCCAATTTAGGGCATGTATCTAGGTTTTGGGTTCAATCTCTGGTGAGGTCTCTTAAGGGAGGGAACCGATCAATGTTTCTCTCTCACATGAATCTTTCTCTCTGTGTGTCTCTCTCCCTTCCTCTCTCTGAAGTCAATAAAAATATATCAAGGGTGCGGATTAAAAAAATTTTTGGATTAGCCCAGCATTTAAAAAACTTCAGAACACTTTGACATTGTGGTTATTAATCGCTGAGGAATTGTGGGAAATATGAATTGGTATGTAAACATTTGCAAGGTGCTATAGGGAAATTGGGAAACAATCTAGAATAAGACATAGTTTTTTTCCATCATGTTTAATGATTCAAGAAACCACTTCATTTTTCAGCAATGAAGTGTATCAACTGAAACTATTTTTCCCACCAGATTATGCTAACCATATATAGCCATATTATGATTGGATTGTGAAAAGACACAAAATGTATTGTTTTTCCTTCACATGCCATTATTATTCTTTATTATAGTGAGGACAGAATTTTTGTGAGCTCTCCACTTCACTCTCATGGTTCCCTTGGAGGCTGTCAGCACTTGATTGTATCCTTGATTGTTGACTGAGGCTGTGGTGATGAGTCTATACTTTACCTCTTTACATAACTACCTGGACTACACAGAGATTACCCTGGTGTCTGTATTATGATGGTTTAAGAACTAACCAGACTCGGTGTAGAATGTACACAGAAGTAAATTAGAAACTAGATGCCTGTGCAGATTTCTTCCTCAGCACTAACTCCAGGCTTCTTTCTGGGTCACTCATTCTGAGGAGAAATTCACTCACTTTATGGAAAGAGGGGTTAAAGGGAAGGGAAGCTGACAAAAGAACAAGAAAGCAAAGCAGTTTAGAACTTAAAAGGGGGAGGAGTGTTTTCAAAACAGCAAGTGCTCCATTCTTATTGTGGAAGGGATGTAGTATCTAAGCAGGAAGCCTACATGGGTAGGAGCACAATCCAATTGCGGTTCTCCTGATGACTAAAACCAAAGTCCCATAGATCCAACATCAACAGAGCCAAGCTGTCTCTGTTTGTTAGATATGCTTTATGTCAGTAAAGCACCAAGCGTTTCTAGTTTCTAGTCCTTCCTACAAAAGAGAATGTGCCATGTTGATGAGAGGGTGTTTTCAGAGCCCTGAGTTTCAAACACAAGTCTCTCTCTCTCTCTCTCTCTCTCTCTCTCTCTCTCACACACACACACACACACACACACACACACACACACATTACTCAAAACAAGAATGCAGTGAAGCAAGTGAACAAAGTAGCCATTTAAAAGACAGATGGCAAGTTCATAATTTTGGCTGAAGAGGGTTTCCCTGTGGGTAGGTGTGAAAAAGTATGATCATCATGAGCCATTTCTGAAGGACGGGTGCACAAATAAAAATGCAGTTGACAAAAACCTGACATCTTCCCTCATTCCTATACTCTAATGAGTAAGCAGATCAATCTGTTATTGGAAAGGAAAAGCAAGGCTGTCAGGCAGAAAGGGAGAGCTGGCAGGCAGCTCATTGGAATTCACAGAATAACCTTTAAGTCTGAGAACTAACTTAAAATCCATGCAGGAAATCAGAACAGTAATAGGTGTTTGTTGTCACTATTGCCCCTTGTTCATGCTGGAGCTGGAGTTTTACCTGCTCTGAGACTAGGGTTTGCTCTCATCAGGTTGCTGTACCACCTTCCAGGTGGCTGCTGCTCAAAAAAGGATGCTTGATTCATCACCACATTTGTTTGGTTACAAATGGAGACAAATCCCTCAGCATAAGTGGTGAGATTTGTCATTCCGTTTAGCCTCCAGATTGCTGCCTCCCACCTGGAATCAGAAAGTCTCAGGACTGGAATCAGGGAACCAATAACTTCCCAATCCAACTTGCCATAAAGTGACAAGAAGTTACATGCCTCTGCCTCAAACTTTCCAGAGACTGAGAGCTCATTATTCTATACAGCAGAATATTTAACTTCTCCCTTTTTAAAAATTGAAATATATTTGACATGTAACGTTGTATAAATTTAAGGTATACAACAAGTTCATTAATATATTAATATAATGTATATTCGTGCCACTATAGCATGTAATCAGCTCTAAAATTTGCCTGGGTCATCCTTTCCTGAGAGTAGTGTGTGTAGTGGTTAAGCTTCTGGGCTTTGCAGCCAAAATACCTGTCCTCGGCCCTGATGCTGTCGGTTCAACATCAACTCTGTGACTGGATCAAGTTTACTAGATTTCTTGGGCTCTGAAGTCTTTCATCTATAAAAATTAGATTAATAGTACAATGCCTATGATCTAGTCATTGGTGAATAAACACTAGCTGTGATTTGTTACTTCATGATTGTTTGTGGCTTCCTCCCATTGTTTCTAGTTCTAACCTGGCAACCACACAAAACAAATAGAATTTGTCCTGTTCATGACAGCCCTTTCAGAGGGTATTATGACTATAGCTACCATCTCTCCTTAACCTATATTACCCACTTCAAGTTTTCTCCTAACCAAATACAACACCTCAGCTCTTTCAGTCTTTCTTCAAGTCCATCCTTATTTTCGTTTGCTCTAAGTATTCTTTTTTTTGAATTTATTTTTCCCTTTATTGATTAAGATATTACAAATTTGTCCTTATCCCCCAAATGTCTCCTCATCCCCCCAATCCTGCCCTCACCCTCACCCCCTGTTGTCTACATCCATCACTTATGCTTATATGCATGGATACAAGTCCTTTGGTTGATCTATCATCCTTAGCCCCACCTTCCCCTGCTTTCCCTCTGAGTTTTGAGCATCTGATCGATGCTTCTCTGTCTCTACATCTGTTTTTGTTCATTAGTTTATGTTTTTCATTATAATACACAAATGAGTGAGATCATGTGATATTTATCTTTCTCTGACTGACTTATTTCACTTAGCATAATACTCTCCAGTTCCATCCATGCTGTTGCAAATGGTAGGAGTTCCTTCCTTTTTACAGCTGCATAGTATTCTTGAAGACTACCATTTTTCATTATCCTCTTAAAACAAAGTCTCCCAATCTGAGCATGATGCTGGTAGGAGAAAGGTCCAAACCAGGGCAGATGGCAGGAGACTCTCACCTGACTCAATCAAGATTCTTTACTCCCACTAATACCCTAGTTGAAGTGAATTTTGGGGGCATTTACTGTTGACTCATGCTCAGCTTGCAATAAGTTAAGACATCTTTTATACATCACTAATTGTTTCTCTTCAGGACAACTGCCCAATGAAGTGACAAGCTAACCCTTATATAGAGAACAAAAGTTTTCAAACTGCACTTGGGCAAAAATAAATATTTTGAGGCCCAAGAACGTATTACTAAGATTGCAGAAGGCTCTGAGAATTTGTGTATCAAGTGCCTTGAGGTTCAAGTCAACAAACATCTATTGAGCTGCTACACATAGCACTAGAGGAAAAGAAATAAGTGATGTAAAGATAAAAATGAAAGATACTTCAGCCCTCAAAGATATTACAGCTAGGGAGAGAGATTAATAATACATGGAGAATAATATAACCAAACATAGCAAATATTATAAAAAAGTGCTATGAGAATTCAGAAATGGTACAAATGAGTTTCAGTTTGAAGCATTTGAAAAGGCTTTATGAATAAAAAGACTTTTTAGCATGTACCATAAATAAAAGTCAGGCTGCTGACAAGTTATTTCTTCCTATTACACCCCCAAACATTAGGAAATCCAATTGGCCTTCCAGGGCATTTAAATTAGGGTCATCTTACATCCCACTTTTATCTTCCAAGGAGATATTTCAGAGTGTGGGATGAGAAATGGCCAATCTTGCTGGTAGATACCTTCAGCACTCATATGCCACTTGAAGGGCAAAATAAGGGCTGGCAGTGGAAAATTAGGACAACAAATTTATGGTTTCCACACAATGCAATTGTGCAAAAGAGTGTGCATTTGTTATTCATTGTGTGTGTAACAAATTACCCCTAATTTTAGCAGCCTAAAAGAACAAACATACAGTTTCTGAAGATAAGGAATCCAAGAGAAGCTTAGCTGGGTAGGTCTGGCCCAGGAACTTTTACAAAGTTGGTCAATCTGTCAGCCAGGGTGTAGAGAATCTTCGCACATGGCCGTGGACTAGAAGCTTTAGTTTCTCACATGTGGGCCTCTCCACAGGGCTGTCAGGGTGTGGTGATCATTGAAAGTAATTTCAGAGGCTGGCTATCATTGCAGACCTGATCTCTCAAGCACTAGGAGGGATAGCAGCCCAGGGGAAACACTGGTTGACATGAAATCTTGATACAGGTCTTCTTGCCATCACTGCCTTTGGCAGGGAGGCTACAGAAACATGAATGAGCTCAGAAAGCCAATGATGACCCTGTGATTCCTTAGTATTTATGGTGAGAAGAATAGACCTGACTCTGGGCATTGGTGACAGCTATTGAAAGAAGCTGAAAAAGATTGACCTTCTCTTGTCATAGGATTCCTCATTTTTGTGTTCCACTGTGTGATGAAGGAGAGTGTGCGGGAGCAGTGGCGGACTCACCTCTGTTGCAGGCGGTTGCAATTGGATAACTTTTCTGGTAAGATGCCAGTCTGGGCAAGTTTTTGAATTGTATAGGTTTTATAAAACTAATCAGATTAACTTGTCTCCTTACTTGAGTTCATGAAGCATTAACATAAAAATGGAGGCTGTCTCCGTGTCATGAAACTAATTTGTACTTCTGTGCTGAGATTAATGAAGTCAGGTTAAAGATGTGATTTTTACTTAGTGAAGCTTCTCTTTTGGCCCAGATTCCTTGGATTGCTTTTCCTTGCTGTCACCTGAGTCTTGATTCGATTAAGAGAACATTGATTGTCTACTGCGTTCCAGGCACTTTGTCACAGGGGCTTTCTGGCCCATAGCCAACACTGAGTTGAGTGAATGTGGGAAGCAAAGAGTGATGGTTAGGTGGAGAACTTGTCAACATCCCTAAGACGCTTGGCTAGCGGGCTTCCTTAATGTACCGATGGCCCTTCCTGCACAGTAGGAGATGTAGTGGACTCTGATGAAGCCTTTGGGAATATCTCCAGTCCAGGCAAACTGATTTTCTATGTATAAAAAGGCTCTTCCATCCAATTCAGGCAGCTTCTCTCAATCTCAATGCGAAGCTCCTTTAGGGAAAGCAGTGCTTGAACTCAAAGATTCTACTCCATTATGCTGTGCATGTCAGTCACCTGCTAATCATTGTGCCAGACTCTAGGAAAAGCAAGTATCCTGGGTAGGTGAATTGGCTCTGCCTGTATCACATATTACAATTCAAACTTTTCATAATTTCATGAAAAAGCTGACTACTTGAGGTACTCAGAACAAACACTACATTGGACTTTAGATTACTTAAACACAATTTTGAGGTATAATTTACCCATCTAAAGTATAGAATTTGATGAGTTTTATGTTTTTAAGATTTTTATTGTCATTTCAGATGGGAGCAGCAGATATGAGCTAAATGTTGGGTATAAACAGGAAAGATTGAAGAAAACCTTCAAGCACAAATTGTTGACACCATCCCTCAAGTCAACAACAAGTAGTTCTACTTTCAAATCTTTAGGCTCTTCACAAGGCACTCCTTCAGGAATAAGCTTCCCAAGTGGTAAGAGAAATGGCTGTGTTGCCTATACTTATATTTAAGAGATATTGAATTAATATGAGGCCACATATGTGGTCTTGAGATATACTTCTTCCTCAAAACTAAAAGTACAGGTACATGTATATACATGAACTGGCTGAGAAAGTGTATATAGAAGCACTTTGTATGTACAAATCTGGTGGGTTATTAGACTAATAGCAGAGAGAAGGGACTGAAAGTAAAAAAAAAAGCTATGGGTAATATAAAAAAATTGTTATAGATTACTAATTGTTATAGAAAAAATGTAGACATTGTCTAGTGCAGTCCTCTCAGTTTACAGGTGAGGAACCTTAAGCAGGAAAATAAAACTGCCTTATGGACAGTCACTCAGCCTATCAATAGAGAGAACTGGTTCCAGGGCTTGGGTGTCCTGGATCTCAAGCTAGTGCTCACCACATTCTACCAAGAATACCCACTGAGCTGTACAACGCTCTTAGATGCTCACCTTCTTCCACAGGAAGTCAAATATCTAGGTACAGAGACAGATATTGAAGTGGAGATGGGTGTTGGAAAGGAAAATATAAGGAAAAAATCGGTCTAAAGGCAAAGTGAGCAAGAACTTAAGAGCTCAAGTTGATGTTGTGATGACTTTATGTTCTGTGTGTTCAGCTGGATGATGGTGCAGTGGCCTCTGGTTGCTTTCTTAAAGACCAAAGTGTACTCCAATCACAGAACACCATTGGTGGCCTGGCTGTAATCGTACTCCCACCTTCTCAGTGCTGGCTGTAGAACTGCTTTTTCTACTTATATTTTTCATTATGATGTTTCCATATAACAGTTTATTTCCAATTGCTGTAGCCAATCTGGAATCAGCATGGTGGGTTGTTTATTTAAGCATCAAACTAGGAGCCAGAAAGCTTTGGCTCAGGTTCCAGCTCTGTCACTAACTCTGTGACCTTGGGCATATTACTTTCAGAGCTGCAGTCTCTCTATCTTCAATACAAGACTGTGTGAGGCAGCACTATTTTCCATTTTAACTATTTGGTCTAGTGTACAGAGTCTCAGTCTCCATTTCTGTATGGAAATATTGGTGCATATAAAAAAACTTTTTCCTTGCCCACAAGAGTTCATCAAACTCTGGCCAGCTAGCTTGTAGATATACTGTGATGCTCATATGGAGGCACTGGAGAGCTATGGCATATAGAAAGCAGGGGTTATGGAAGCTCTTTAGTAGATAATAGTTGGAGTTGACTGGGTAAAATCATTTTTGCAAAGGGGTTGGTTAGTATTGGCTCCCCTGCTGTCCCTGTGGGATATTGTTTCATTAGCAAATATACTGAACAACTGTACACATTTTTCTTATGGGGAGCACTAACATATCCCATATCCAGGATTTTAATGTTGTACCAAGCAATAGATTCAGAGAACTAAGGCACCCGAAGAAGTAACTCAGCCAGTGCGGCAGGTAGTGCAGTCTCTTTGGCTCAGGTTTTAAAACTGCAATCTGAATGCTACCATCAGACTGTGGCAGCCAGAAACTTGATTCTATCAACACAGAATGAAAAATTGTGTTTTCTGTGCCAGTAGGCACTCTCAGGCTAAGAACTAAACCTTCAGAGAAAGAATATTAAATTCATGGGAGGGTATAAGTATGTGTGTTACCATTTTATGTTGACTTTTCTGAAGGCCTCTGAGGTTTGTCTGTACATATCCTCCCCTAGGTTAAAGTTACTGTGAATAACACAGCTTATTTTTCACAATGCATAAAGAACATATGCAGTTGTAATTGCCTTAGCAGTGTTGTCAAGATGAATTAATTTACCCTGGATTTATATTAAACTATCCAAGGAAAGCACCACAACTTTCACTTCCTTTGTAATTCCTATATTTATTTTTACATTAGATAAAATTTCTTACACTTTCACTATAAGCAAAGTCCCCAATGCCACGAGGACTTTGTTCAAATTTTTAACAAAAAAATGTTGTGTTTTTTTTTGTTAATACAGATAACTACTATGAAGATTCCTACTGTTGCTCTCCCTTGAGTTGTGATGTTGTGCCTAATTGTGTGAGAAGAATATTACCTGTGGAAATCAAAATGAATTCCATTCATAAACAAAGATTCCTTCAATAAATCACAGCAGAAATGCATTACTCTCCCCACCCCCAGATTGGAGAAAATGTTGAATTTGTGAAGCCATCTGCTCCAACTTCATATTCTAAATATTATTTTGGAAGGAGCAGAATGAGATAGCATTTAGTGAATATTAAAGTCAGAATAATTATCCTATTTACTGTTACAGTGGTTTTTTTCTTTTTAGATAATATTTGAGTATATAGTTATTATATACTAAGGGAGAACTATTTAGCATTAGAGATTTTATTTCAAAACTCTGAGTGTCCACATACTCTTGAAAGAAAAAAAGAAATCCAGATCAGGGTTCTTACTGCTTGCGAATCAAACAATTTCAGGTAGCTAGTTTCTGAATATCCAGTTGACCTGATACCACAGAGGAAGTAGATGGGAAGAGCCACAAGATTGTACATTTCGGGAAAAACAAACAAACAAAATCTCACTATCCTGTTGGTCTCTCATGACAAAGCACCTGAAATCCCCATTATTCAAGTCACTCTTTTGATTGAACACCCCTGCTAAAATGGAAACATGTTCTATGAAAAGGGTAGCTCATCAATCCACAGACACCCATGAATTCTCTAGTGGGGATAAATTTCTCAGTCATGGCAGCTTGTGAGGCAACAGCAAGCAGGGTTCTGAGGAATGTAACAGGACAGGAACGGTCTGACGCTGGAGTTTCTCTCTAGGGAGGGAAGGACAGGTCAAGGTAAGCAGGAAAGTAAGGGGATGGAGACCAGAAGAGTCACCCAAAGGCAACAGAGTGAACATTGAAGATAATTGTGCCTGTTTTACACTAGCATGATAGCTGGCCTTCTTAATCCCATTCCAAATATTGCCACCAAAGCTTCCCAGCCAGAGAGGCTGCTTGCATTCATGTTCTGGAAGGATACACAAGCAACTGGTATCAGTTGTTTCCTTCAGGAAGGGTAACAGGGTATCTGGAGGCAGGAACGAAAGGGAGATTTACTTTTCACCCTATACCTTTTCATATCTTTCAAATCTTGTACTGAGAGAATATGTTACCTCTTCAAGCAATAAATAAATGTATACAGTTCTTACATTCTTCTTTGCCCTCTCTGCCATCCCATAAACATAAAAATGTAGGTAGACTTGTAGGCCCCTGATTATCTGCCTGAGTCAATCCCCTTGCCTATGAAATTTTGCTCTGATGAAATCCCACATACTTTGTTCCACATAGGGCTCTGTGTACATTTTTTGTATGGGAAGATGAGCCAGTGAGTGAATAATAACTAACATAAATGATGAACAAAATATCTCAAATGTAAAAATGTCTTTGAACTGACAATATTGTCACCTTCAAAAACAGATTTAGGGATAAGACTTGGGTATAATTAACAAATCTACAAATATACACGTCTGCATGTGCTTTGATTTGGGGGATCATTTTTGGCTGTGAAAATGCCCTTGATTATATTTATTTTCAGAGTAATAGGATTATGACTGTTCTGCTGCTGCTGGAGTGATGAACGTACAGCCTGTCTCTAATGACCTGACATGCTGTCAAGAATAGAAATTCAATTTTATAGAAAAGTTCATGATTCCTGTCATGACTCCTCCTGCTAATTAGTAAAACATGGGTTCACTGATTAAACATCTTTCAGGCATCCGTTGGTTTGCTCTTTCTAGATCCACAAAATGGCTGGCAATTGTGTGAAGACAGACCCAAATGACTATGGAGAAGAGACCCTAGAACCTTTGGGCTGCTTTCAATGAACAATCAACTCCCAAGCATTCACTGAGCCCTGACATGAAGAGAAAGATTCAGATATGTCATACTTATGCTATTACTCCCAGCAACTTACTGTTTACATGGGGAGACCATATATACACATTGGAATAGTGAATGAGTAAAACAAGGATTTGGTGGAAGAGAAGTACATCACCAACAATAAATGTTGCAGTATTTAGTCAGGACTGAGGGTAGGGTATTCCAGGTTTTTGGGGGACAGCTTGGGTAAGGCAGGACTCCATTTCTCAATGCCACAAGCAAATCCTCATTACTAAATCAACAAAGTTACAAAGCCCCTTGGAGCTTTCAGGGTACTGGCTCTAACTATTTATTCTCTGCTGTGCTCTGGTTTACTGTGGGCAAGCTGGAAACACTGACTAGTACTAAACTCTCTCTGTAACAAGTTTAAGGATGCTCCTGCCCAAGACCCTAATCCTTACTGTTTTTTCAGAAGTCCCAAAGATGACAGTGATCATCTGTGATGGCCTACTTTCCCTGTACCCAGAGGTATGGGAAGGTTGTAGAGTGAAAGGGTAAAAGAGAGTAAGGCTTATTATAACCTCAGCACCTCAGCCCTATGGTTAATGGGTATGTTTCTGGTCCTGACTTTAAAGAATTTAGGGGACACAAGGAGCTTGGAGCAATGGAGGAAGGACCTAGTTATAACCCTATTGATTAGGCAAAACAAATAAAATGGATTAAATTCATACTGATAATGTCTAGCTCCTTGTAGGCATGTCATAAACATTTGTTGCGTGCATGAATAAATAATAGTCTAAAGTACATGAGTTATATGAAAGCAATGGCTGACTTTTCTTAATGTAGAGTTTCTTACATTAGTGTGGAGTAAACCTGTTTCCCACTAATATTTAAGCTTCATCTGTCTTGTTGACTGCCATAGTGTCAGCGCCAAGCACAATGTTTCAGTCAAGGTGCTTTGGTTGCCAGAACAGAAACCAAATGTCTTTGAACTGACAGTATTGTTAGTTCTGATTACCTAAAGAAAAGAAAAATGGTTGAAAGGGTTTTGAAAACTCAAGAAATTTATGGGGAAGTTAAAGGACAGGGCTTGAAAACAGATACAGGTCTACAAATCAGAAACCACGGGGGTAGTCTCCTAGCAGAGAGTCTTTTTTTAAAAATTTTATTGAGGTGACATTAGTCAACATGAACATATAGGTTTCATTCATGTGTGGATTACTAAGTTACAAAATCTGTATATAGCACCATGTGCCCACCACCCAAAGTCAAATCTTCTCCTGTCACCTCATACTAGGACCCCTTTCTTCCCCCACCCCCCTCCTTCTGGCAATCACCACACTGTTGTTTGTGTTCATAAGTTTTAGTTTTATATCCCACATATGTGTGAAATCATATGGTTCTTAGCTTTTTCTATCTGACTTATTTCACTCAGCATAATTTCCTCCAGATCCATCCATGTTGTCACATATGGTAAGATTTTATTCTTTGGATGGAT